ATTTATTTTAGGAAGGTATCAAAACTCTAAATAAAAAATAATTTGGGAAAAGTAATTCCTGCTTCTATAAAAATAATTTGTTCAACATTTAAAACAAAGACTTGTTTTTTTTTTTTATATTGACAGATTGGTTCTTGACTCAGACCAAGTTTTGAATTTTGTCCCTCTTCAACTGAGTGACATCCCTGCGGAATTCTACATCTTTAATTTAAGCTTGAGTTGAATTTGCTTATTTTCACTGTGAATTTGCGTTACATACATATATAAACAAAATGAAATAAATCTATTATTTCTTTGCTCTTTATGTAAACTGTAATCTGCCAAATTTCAGCAAGATTATATGAAAAGTTCAGACGTGCTCACAGTTCAAATTTTGTCTCTTCAGCTCTGAGGACAACACTTTCAAATCCGGAGAGATTCAAGGAGAGTTTCTGACACTTCTCACTGGTCCATTAGGAAACATTTCACAGATATTTAATGCTYGGGGAGGATTTCACTAAATCTTGTGCTTATTCTCGTGACACTTAGGAAAAGTAAAGCAGATTTAATAGCTTTTCCCCCGACACACTGATGGAGAGTCTCCTCTGCTTACAGCACACTTTCATAAAACCCCATCTAAACCAAATTAATGCACTTCCTCCAACATGTGAGGATAAACCTGAGGGCCACGGGGCTGTCGGCCCCTATCAGGCTCCTCACAGGGAATGGAGTCAGCAGGCAGTGGAACACATTTGCAACCAGGCGGAGATGAAGAGGTGCCAGCTAAGCAGGCAGCATATGGCCCGCTGCCTGTCAGACTGACACGTTTCATCTTCATATCCTCATGAGTGAAGAGTTGTWGCAGTTTTGAACAAACCTTGTTGTAAAAATGAGATCTTGAGTGGTGGAGCTCAGATTCTGGGTTTTAGGTCAGGGTTCCAAAACTCCTCTATGCCAGGACCCCCAAACAGCGTTAGCTCAACCAGGTGAACAGGATTCCAGCCAACAACGAGGTGAAAATGAACACCAAACCAGTTGTCGTTCCATATGTTGTGGGTGTTACAGAGAACCTGAGACATTTATTCTCTCCTATATGATGTCCAGAGTGGCTTTCAAACCACAAAACACAGTACGAGTATGACAAAGATTGGTTCACCCCAAAGATCCATTCCCCGGCACAAACAGAGTAATATTGTGTATGCTGTTAAGTGTCAGGAGGACTGTGATCAGTTATACGTCTGGGAAACTAAACTGCCACTATTCAACAGAATGAGCCAGCATGGATGAGCAACATTATCAGGCCAGGCCTCTGCAGTTTACACTCATCTACAGACCAGGGGTCTCATTTATTCCAACTTTTTTATTGAATTTTTAGCAACTTGACATACAATATTTGTCATACGGAAAATGAAAAAGAATTATTAACAGAGATGAAGAGAAAAAAAATCTTCCTTACATTAATGAGATCGTATTGAGCACAAATGATAATAAACGTAAGCTGCCCCCCCTCCAAAACCCTCCCTGAATACCCCCGATCTAGGTTCTAGCACAAAATAAACATTTAGCAGAGATCCAGTCCCTGCGGCATACAATGTTACATTTAATTACACACCCACCCCTCCAAATAAATTCCAGAACAGCAGTAATATACATACAGTATATGTATTTACATTCACACTTT